AGTGGGTATCCGCCTTCCATTCCTTCCTGCAGCATCCCATCAACAACCCTAGTCTGTCCGTCGTCCGAAGCAGTAAGTCAGTTTGCCAGGCGGGGAGCACCGATTCTTATTTCACGATGATCATTGTCAAGAGCGCCCTCACCAACTACGCACATCGCCTTCGGTTGCGGGAAGTCATTCGTCGACAGACTGCGCATCTTAATGCCACTGTGGGGATCCTCTTCAGTCTCGGTCTTCCTGCGAATGGCCAAGTGCCTTCCGATCTGCTCAAAGAGATCGCACAATTCGATGACATCCTGCTTGCGAACTACACCGACACCTACCTCAATCTGACAATCAAGACAATTGTCAATTTGCGCTTTGTTCATCGCTTCTGCTTGCACGCCAGCTCATCCTTCGTTTTCCTCGATGATGACCACGCGATAAATCTGACACAACTGCATACATACTTCTCAAACTTTTCCTCATCTGAAATCCGTGGAGGCATCTTTGGTTTCATCAACTCCAACACCCCGGTGTTGCGAGCGCCTGGACGTAAATGGTTCACGGAGCGGGAAATGTTCCCGTTCGTGAAATATCCCGACTACGCGGCAGGCCCTTGCTATATCCTCGGCGCCGACCTCATCCCAAAATTTTCTATTGGTGCAGCTTTCATACGAATGTTCCCCATTGAAGACGTCTTTGTGGGCCTTATTACCCTAAAGTTAGGTCTCCGCATTCATCCTCTGCCCAATATGTACATTCATCAATCATACCTTCCTCCGCACGTATTCCCCATAGTAGCAGGAGTGGACTTTTTCAACAGGCAACTTAATGTATAGGACTGTGCAGTTTATTGTAGCTCAGTGTCTTCGACACCATTCCTGGGGTGCCTTCGCTAAAACAAGCTGTTCCTCACGCCAGTGGGGTAGTAGTCTCTGCAAATTTTCTCGGCCTCCCTTTTTGTATATCAGCCGATTTCTTCTAGGCAGTGTGTCTATGTGTTACTTGACTCTTTTGTGAGGTAATCCCAATGTTTGCCAGACTGACCAAATGTACGTAATGCCTTGCAATACTCACACCTATTTGGGACCAACTGACTACTAAACTCTTAAGGTAGGCAAACGTTTGCACACTGTCTAGACCAGATACGTGTATGCCCGGTCAGCACAGTTGTTGTAGACGTATGCGCGCACTGTCGTTGGCGTGTAATAGTCGGGCTACTCACTTGTCCCGTCTCCTTTACTCCTGTGACCGCTTTGACTGCTATTTCTGCAAGGGTTGTCTTGGAGTCAGTACCGAGCGTCAACTCTGAATTGCACAGATTGTCCGCGTCACTCATCCTTCAATCAGAAACTCAAGCTAGTGCGGAACTCGGTAGAAGAAGAACTGTCTGGACACAAAAGATTTATATAATGAGACAGGGTATATGAGGACGGGGAGCGTATAGTCTCAATGAAGATGGGGATAACGGCGGTCAAAAGAAATTATTAAGCACTTCACGGCTGTGGTTCTGGGGTAGGTTCTACATCCACTGGAGTCATGCTCTCAACTCTGTTTGAATCCTCGTTCTGGTCTGTAAGGTAAAGAAGAAAAGGGCTCGACGGAAGCACAGCCCCAAAAATCGCCGTTTCGTCTTTTTTGACTTTTCGCCAAATTCGCCTCTGTCTGCCACTACAAGCGAAAGGCAGTGGTAAGCATGAACAGATCGGAGGGGAATACTGATCGGTTTGAGTGCACCCGCTGATGGCGAAAAGACTGAAAGCCGTCTTATCAGGAAGTTTAATCCGTTTATTTATAAGTATGAGGCGCATAAGTGCATTTTGATACGAAATGACCAGTAACACTTTCTTAATTCGACGTTCCTTAATCCGTTTTAACGCATTATAGAGTCAATTGCATACGGGATTTGTACTATTAAAAAAAGGCCACGCAAGAGTCACAGATCTTCGGGCATGATGTGGGTGTTTTCGCAAATAGCTGAGCAATTTCTTGGCGGAAAATTCTCCAGTGAATAGCTGTCGGAGATTGCAACTGTTGCGTTAGTATGTGGTAACTTCCAATTTTACCACCGTTTCACAGCGCCTAGACCGCTCGCACATTATATCTATCACGATATTTCAGAGGTGGGTCCACACTTGTCGGATGAGCCGTTGGACGGCTTGAGTAGCAGAGCAGTTGGTCATTGTCATCGCTGAGACTCGGACTACAATGGTTCCTCTTCCAAGCGACGTTTCTGACACTCTCACACATATGACATACAGGCCGCCCCGTAAGGTTGCGTAGCACGTGTTGTGGGGACCAGGTTCTGTGTAAGTGAGCATAGATGGGCCGTTTAGAAGCCTCCTCCACTGTGCGCGAGTCCGTCTGGACATTGGAGACGGTGCGGTAAGTGCTGCGCAAATCTGCCTAGCTATAAATTGATCCACTTGCAAGTCACCACTGTTGCGCCCATTCTGTTGGAAGAACGATGGGCGTCGCTGATCCCGACAATGCAATTATCGGGCAGTTGAATCCACGTCAAATATTTCTCAAACTGACGTGATTTATTAATCCGAGCCAAAGACCATTCATATGGAGTCCTGCGATTTCGTGTTATTTACTATGAGGTATTGGTCCGGGTGTCGACAGGGAAACGTTTTTTTGAAATGGCATTCAAGACTTATCTCAGACGAAGGGATTACCAGCTTAAAAAGTCACAGTGCCACACAGAGGGCCATTCGTCAATGGGATCCTTTTCCGACGAATAGTATTGATTCCCCTATCGTGAGTGTGTTCAAGAGAACTGGATAATCGCCTGCTGAAAGACAACCCGAACTGCCGAAGCTTGATTTAGGAGATTACTGAAATGACTATAAACATACTACTAACGTGATTTAAATAGATTGTGTTTGTGAGTTAAAATTAACCCAAATGGAAATTTTCACAGTGCGAATGCAATGAACAATGTTTTTCACGATCATTTCGAAAATGTCGTACCTTTTCACATATATGCTCCACTATTAAATTTATGCATTCTGTTCACCAAAACTGCATACAGATTTGTTGCAATTTAACTATTTTCTCCTATATCTGTACCGTCTAAATGGAGTTTTTAGGGATTCTGTCGTTTACTCCGAATATACTGACTGCGCACAGCAAGATATTGGAGGGGGTGGGTCGATTGGATCTCAACTGAGTGGGAGTGCTACAAAGGCCAAATTTCAGAAGAATTCATTGTAGTCTGTTTATCCGTCTTGAGAGGAGAACCGAGCAATCCCCTTCAGTTTGTAGCCCTCCAAGACTCAGTTTTAAAGCACAGTAATGTCTGCAAAGGGCGTCTGTTTGTTTGTAGAGAGAAATATGTGCTGAGACCGTCGACCGCACTCTCTCTCTTCCGTCTTCGGATTTCAATCCACTGTCCGAGCCGGTCAACAATCTGACGCGTAGATTTGGCGCAGTGACTGACGTTGCTGGAGAGCCTGAATTCGTGAGTCATACAAACGCCATGGCGCATCACACAGCACACTAGGATTTTAAACAAGTCTGATGGGTATTTCGAAGCTCACATGTATGAGAGCGCAAAGAGGCCATATTAGGAAGGAGCCATGGCAGCCTAACTTTCAGCCCACCAGGAACACACACTGCGCTGATTGTGAGGTCATAGGTGAATCGTCCGTTAGCAACCTTCCAATTCACGGCTTGTAACGTGCTGGGATATTTGCAAAGTGCGTCAGATTATTTATAGTGAGGAATGTGAGCTGGGACAGTCGACCGTTCTCCTTCCTCTACTTTTTCCGTGTATCAGTCGAATGCCCAGGCCGGTCAGTCAGTTGATGCTGAGATTGGACGTTGTGGCTGGCAGAGCTAAAATCAGCCCCTCAGCGTGTGCCCCACACAGGACCTGGCCACCGGCATGACAAATCAGGATTCCATACAAAGGGTGATCTTTTGGGATCTCACTTGTGTTCGAACAGCAGAGGGACCACATGGAGAAGGAAGCTGAAGAGCACGATTCCCACTTGTTTTAGAGGTGCCAATTTCCTTTTTGTGATGCACGATGAGGATCCGGTTTTCGCGGTGTGTGTGTGGGTGGGGAGCTACGCAGTGATAGAGTTTGATCGGCTGTGTTTACCGTAGGTTTCCATGCATGCGCATGTGGACGAGAAGATCCATGCGGCGACAGAATGTGGGGGGCAATCTAGGTAGTTAAGACAGGGGCGACGTGTGTAGGTCGGGGCCCCTGTTACCAGTGCGCTGTTCTTAGTTCTAGGGATTCGCCAGTGACCGATGACGCCGATGCGTGAACTGAAGCCACGATTGCCATGATGAGAGGTTGGGATCGAGCTCTAGTTTTCTTTGGGGAGGGCAGTGGTTAACAGAACGTCAGGAATGCTTTCGCCGTTGTCGGGGGTGAGAGGTGACAAGAATGGGAGAGGTGGTCGGCCGTCGACAGCGTTGGCTGACGTGTCGTAACATCAGAAGTGTTGTCGCTGATAGGAGGTGAGCAGGCGAGTCCCAGGAAGCAGTTCAGAAGAAGTTGATTCGATTACTGATACAAAAAGTTTATGGGTCTGACGGCTCGGATTCTCACCTGAATCCATCATCAGAGAGGGTTGACACTGTTAGCTTTGGAGATTCGGTGAGCCATTTTGTCTTCGATTTTAACGTCTCGTGAAAATATAGTGCATAAATAGGCGGAACTGCTCATGGCTATGTGTGAGATGTCGTAAACCATGATGCAGGGAGCATTGCATTAAGTCTGCGGTGACGGTTGATGCATAACCACCGTTTTGTCCGTGCTGATGGCCGCCAAGAAGTTTGTGCCTCAGGAGGCGAAGCGGTACGTGCTCCGGTGCATATCGGATTTGGTCGCTGTGTTGAGTGTGCAGTCGTCCGCAAAATCAGGCCATAGACAATCGTCATGTATATATGCGCTGGGGCTAACATACTTCGGACCGGCGGGCTAATCCAGGTGATCTTATCCGTGTATGCATCTGCGCGCCCAGTACTGTGGACTCCGCTGGCCGGATGGATCTTCGCGTCGGCATCGTCGTGACGAGGCTCCGTCTGGACCACCGCAGGAGGCCGCCAGGCAAGTTATTCCTGAGGTAAGTAAACTCTGCTCTGTTTCCTTACCGGCGTGTTAGTGTTACATACTGTATGCTGCCCCTGTTGCCTTTTCTGTCTGCTAGTCCGTGCTTATCTCTTCTAATAGCTAGCTATTATTATGCAAGACTTCGTATGTTGCCTTGTTTATTACTCTCCTCGCCTGATGGCTATGTATGTTTGCCCATGCTAACTGTAAGTCACATAGAGTTCTGTTGTGTGTGTCCTCTCGCCTACTTGTTTCCGTCGGCCCACCACCAAGGTCCCAGGCTAATTCGGGTCGGTATCTCACTAACAAAAAGTTGTGACCTGGAATGGAATTCGGCAACCGTCTGGGATAGCCGGGCAGCCTTATTTAGGGGGTACGCTGCCTGCCCAACGAGGGGGCAGGAGCTAGAAAAGATGCCCACACTGTCCGTAGGCTGGCCGTGGCCGCAGACAAAAAACGCACGGTCGAAACGGTCAAAACCGAAACAACACCAATCTCTCTTCTCCTGGCCCTGCCTATTCTCCTTCTTCCCCTCCTTCCACTTTTCGCCGCCGCAATCGTCAGACTGGCAGGGTGAGTCAGCTTACTTTGGCAGCCTGGAATCTTCGTTCCCTTTTAGAGAATCCGCGAAGCAACGGACCGGAACGGAGGGCAGCGCTAGTGGCCCGGAAACTGGTGCGCTACAAGGGGAACATCGCCGCACTCAGTGAAACCCGATTCTCCGAACAAGGCCAACTGGAGGAGGTAGATGGCAGATGCAGCTTCTTCTGAAACGGTCGCCACAGGACAGATCGGCAAGACGCGTGTGTCGCCTTCGCCATCCAGAACGACATCGTGAGACGACTGCCGTGTTTGCCGCAATGCATCAATGATCACCTGAGGAGCCTCCGCCTGTATTCGCCTACAGTCTCGTGGGAGACCGCAGGTTAAGGGACTCCCAGGTAAGTTGAATATTGCCTTGTTGTATTTGCCAGCTCGCCATATCCATTTCGGCAATGAGCTAACTCAACGGCTAGACGGCCTTGCAAGCGCTGCCGCCGTCGCCAACGCCGCTCTCGACGAGAACGTCTCCGTGAAGAACCGCTGGCGTCACCTGCGGGACATGGTCCAGTCGACGGCGCAGGTCGTCCTTGGTCGCGCACGCCGATAACGTCAGCCAGTTTCGATGACAACGACACCGCCATCCGTAATCTGCTTGTTGAGAAGAACCGCCTACACAAAGCCTACGTCCACCGCGCCACCGATGACAACAAGGCTGCTTTCTACCGCTGTCGTCGCCTCCTGAAAAGCGACTGCTCGAGACGCAGGACGCCTGGACGGCTGTTCTTCTCCGTGATCAAAGCTTTCTACGGATCGCCAACTAAAGACACTGCTCTTTTTTTCATCGCCGACGGCAATATTCTCCTCACTGATAATCCACAAATTCTACAGCCATGGGCTGACCATTTCGGAAGCGTCTGCCGCAGATGGAGACTAACCTGGATCTCGGCCTCCCGCCCTTTCTCCACGAAACCATCAGGACCATGCAGCAGCTCTCCAGCGGGAAGGCACCCGGATCGGACGCGATCCCTTTTGAGGTCTAAGAGTACGGCAGCCCTCAACTCATGGATCATCTGACTGTGCTCTTCGAGAAGATGTGATGTCAAGGAGAAGTCCCGCAAGATTTCAAAGACGCAATAATTGTGCATCAATACTAGCGGAAAAGAAGTCGCCAGCTCTACGACAATCATCGAGGCATTTCCTTGCTGAACATCGCCGGGAAGATTTTCGCTCGCATCCTTCTCAACCGCCTGAATAATCATCTAGAACAGGGTCTTCTGCCGGAAAGCCAGTGCGGTTTCCGCCATCATCGCGGGACAACGGATATAATTTTTACCGCCCTTCAACTTCAGATGAAGTGCCAGGAGTTGTGGAGCCACCTACACTCTACTTTCATGAATCTCGTGAAGGACTGTGGAAGATCATGCAAAAATTCAGCTGTCCCGAGCGATTCAATCGGATGGTGCGTCAGCTGCACGACGGTATAATGGCGCAAGTCACGGACAACGGAGATCTCCCAGAGACATTCGCAGTGACCAATGGAGAGAAGCACGGATGCGTCCCAGCGCCCACCCGCCTCAGTTTCATGTTCTCTGCCATGCTGATGGAAGGCTACATTGAGGTACGTCCCGGGATCCGCATCGTCTACAGGATGGACGGCCACCTCCTCAATCAACGGCGGATGCACTTCCAATCGCGCCTATCCACAGCCACCGTTCACGGACTTCTCTTCGTCGACGACTGCGCACCTCGGAAGAGGACATGCAAAGAAGCATGGACCTTTCCTCCGTCGCCTGCGAGAATTTAAGTCTGGTCATCAACATGGAGAAGACGGTGATCATGCACCAACCGTCATCGAACACAGACCCTCCGCACAATGCACTGCAGATGAGCGTGAACGGAAACCAACTGCAAGTGGCGGAATATTTCCCGTATCTGGGCAGTACCCTCTCCCGCGGCAGGAGAATCAGCGTGAATTATCACGCCGGATTTTTATGATCAGTCAAGCCTTCGGCCGCCTCCAAAGCACAGTTTGGAATCGTCATGGTCTTCAGCTCAGCACGAAGCTGAAGATGTACAAGGCCGTTATCCTCTAGACGTTTCTGTACGGAGCTAAGACTTGGATGGTGTGCACGAAACATTCATGCTGACTCAGCCATTCCCACCTCAGCTGTCTTCATCGCATCCTGAAGCTGCGGTGGCAGGATCGAATTCAAGACACCGATTTACTGGATCGGACGGGTATCCTCAGCATCTACACCATGCTAAGACAACTATAGCTGCGTTGAAGCGACCACCTCGCGCGGATGAACGACGAGCGGGTACCCAAACGACACTGCTCCTGCCGACAAGGTGCCAAGTCTGTCGATACAAGAAAACTGAAGACCCCTCTGGCGCGTCTGCAGATCAACCTGACCAACTGGGAGGACCTCGCCAACAACCGACTGACCTGGAAAAGGATAGTGAGGGCAGGCGCAGCGATTTAAGAAGTCGACTGAATCGCCGCCATGCCAAAGCCAAACGTGGAGTACGCAAGTCCCATCAGCGTCCACCACGCAATGCCTGCGCACAACAGCCTCCAACTTGTCCACGATGTCAACGGACATTCCGGGTACTAATTGGTCTTGTAGGACACCTTCGGATAAACTGCGCAACTCGGATCGCAACAGCCATCGCCCGTCCCTCCAACTGCCGCTCCTCCTTGTCCTCCACGTTGCCAACTAACGCTGACCGTTCTCTTTACCCACTACTCACATTCTCCTCCTCCTCCTCCTCCCCCTCCTCCCCCTCCTCCTCCTCTTCCTCCACTGCCCCAACGTCTGCCGTTGTGGCGCCTGACATGCACATCAACACAACACGCAATCTTCATACAACAGCCGACACTAACACCACCGCCGGCACCAGGGGAGAGGACCAGGATTACACCCGTTCTCACTGTGACATCGGCCTGGTCGGTCACTTGCGAATCCATCGCACGGTGACTGGCGAACCAGTGCCTGGAGCACCAACCCACACCCGCTGCACTGCCCTAGCACATTCACACATCGCATGGGCCTCTTCGGCCACACGCGTATCTATGAGAGAGTGAGAGAGAGAGAGAGGTTTGCGATAACCCTCTGATATTATCAACGTTCTCAAATATGTCATTTTTTCAATATTTCCGACATTGAGAGCCTAAAATTATATGATTTTACTTAAGCCTTACCATAAGCTTCTTCTACTTCCTTGTATTTAAGGATAAATTTATGTTTATTCAGCTTAAGATTGAGTCCTAAGACCCAAGTGGTCGAGGATATTCTTAACCCACCGGGTAAACGAAATTAAAACATAGTTAATTCTACCGATCATTGCCGAAAGGACAACAAGCTCGAGGCTCAATAATCAACTCTTCATAAGTAAAAATTTTGGGTCCGAGGCGCAGGTCTCCTAAACTTGTTTCGGTGAATGCTGGCTGACCGCATTTACTAAGCCAGAAATGGTCATCCTGGTCTTCCATGTATTTACCAGGTCTGAACTTCTGTATATTTGTCGTAGAATGGCCCGAAACGGAATTTATGTAAACCTTAAAAAATCAACTCTTAGACAAAATGGAACAAGGGGAAAGGGACCTCTCCTAGGTATTCACACATCAATTGAACTTTCATTTGCTTTCTGACAACTCAGTAACTTTTAATTCCTTGGTCATAGTTCAATTCAGCTCAATGTACGCATATAACGAAATGCGGGTTTAAACTATGTCTTCAATGTACCCCGAATTGCTTGAAGCTCATTTAGATACACGGTATATCGAGGATGTAAATTCTATTGGCGTCATATTCGTTTGATCGCGCAGAACGGAGAGGCGTAGTGCACGTATTTATGCTCAGGTTATGCAGAACTATACCTCAATCTTTGATTTTAGTAGCGTAATTTAAATTGATATGGCGGATGGATCTCGCTGCCTGTTGCTAGATTCGTCAGACTGGACTTATAATCGGCAATACAAGGCAGACCATAAGGTCACTTCCCAGTTCTTCCCACCGAGTCGTGCGCAAACACCCAAAGGAATAAACGGTATTTCATGATTCACTCACCTTCTATTTTCTGAAGTGTTTGAGAAAATGTAAAAGAGGACATTAAAAAAACGGAGGTGTCCGCATGCTAGTCGGCGGTAACAACAAGCTATACAAGAGATTGTAAGGAAAGACCACACAGTGGTATATCGCGAAAAATATTCAAGAGGCATGACAAAAGAGCACAGTGGGACTTTAACTTCTGAAAAGGCACCAACAAGCTGACTGCACAGGACTGTCTAGTTTTTATGAAATGGGAAAAATTTAGTTTTTCGAAGAGCATCCGCGAATGCAGACGGGAAGACTGAAAACTATTATCAGGACATTTCATTTATATCAAGTCATATTCACTTATAGTTGACTTTTTTTTGTTTGATCCTTACCTTCACTGCTGGGTGAGTATACGAATGACGCTGAACGCCTGGGGTGGATTGTGTCGGTCGCATAGTAAGTAGCAAAACCAAACAGTAATTTGCAGATGTTAAGACGCTCTTGCCTTCGCTAAAGCTCAGGAAATCTTCATCATTTGTCTTGTCTTTTCAGCAGCAAAATATCGCTACATCTCGTAATTAAGCGTGTAAGAGTAAAAACTATGGGAATTTTAGCAATTCCGAAACATTTCAGAACGAAAATCTAAAGAAGGCGCGTTTTCGCTTTTCATATTCAAGTCGGAGCAATCAGAATTCCGCAACCGTTCGCCGTTAGCATTCACACTAAACGTTTATGTGCGAAGTTTTCTTGACGTTTCGCAATCAGCACCAGATGAGTAGGCCTTTTCTTTCGTTAAACCGCAAACGCATCTTGTGGGTCAAGTAAGCCATTTCCGAAGACAGACTGAATTGAATGACGTAGTATAAGAAAAAAAACGGGTCTCGCCTTTTATTACGTCAAAAAGGTATGTCTGCATTGGCAGAACAGAATAAGCGAAGGTCATCCCACAATTGGCTGGCAAGTGTACTGAGGAATGCAAAAGACGTCAGCCTGCATACCAGACTCCTTGACATGCACTTCAGGGCCGCACGGCCCCGCCCCGAAAGCAGGTAGACGATTGACAGGCAAGGGCATCATTCAGCCGTGGTCCAAACACGCACCAATGAACTGTTAAACACGTGACATCTACCTCGATCAGCTGGTGAATGATTCGAGGACTTATGTCTACATCCTCCATCGCTGTTTTAGTCACACATCTTCCAGGCACAGCAGTTTCTGCGTGCACTTCTGCTCGCGCAAAACTCCGACACCTGGTACCAAGGGGGCGGGAGTACAGATCTGAAGTGAAAGTTTTGCATGGAAAATATGTCTGCAAAAAAAATTGCGAAAGTGATGAATACTGCCTCTTGGGTGACTCACGTCTGTTCCCGTGTTTCACTTTCAATGCGTGGGCATGCAGGATATGTAGGTCATTGAATCTCATCGTCGTTTTGGCAAATCTTGAATGTACTAGCGACTCCCGTCATCCTACCGCGTCACACTCGCTGGGACTCGCTCTCTTCCACTTTGATCTAATGCGATATCTCGTCATCTACGGTCAATTCCAATTCAGTTAGGCGCAAAGTAATGCGTTTAATTGAGCTCGAAGGATGCGACCTGAATTTTCGAGGGGTGTTGACCGATCAGGTCATGAGAGACTATTGTGGCTTTGGACACAGTCTAGAGCTCTCACATAGCTACTTGAGGTATATTTAAGTAAGATGGCACGGATACTGAAATGGCCATTTCTGACTTATTAGTTGTTGTAAGCTAACCTTACTCAATCCCAGGTTCAGTGGCACCTAAGGTTCTAACCCGAGTTATTTCGGTAACTGGGCGTTGGCAAGTCAAATGCTTTGACTATTGAGTCGCGGGCACGTTATCCTGCTGTCTGTGAATAAGTTATACGGGCGCACTCCGATCAGATTAAGATACGTGCTTTGGACTTTCTAACCCTTAATGACCAAACTAATCATGAATCGAATCTTAAAAGTCTCCGAATCTGGGGTTGGATAGGAACAGCTGACGACGGCCTATAAGTCAGAGATGTCTATCCCGGTTTCCCTTACGTCTGTCGGTACAACCCTATGCACATATACTCCAAAGTACATGTCTATCATGAATATTTTATCCGATAAAACGATTTTCGAGGAAGGAGTTATATTTACCTCAGTGAGTAACTTTCTATACCTTAACGTTTGTGGAAGAGGGGCTCTCATCGATCGCGATGCGGAACTCATACTCCTTGGTATAACTTGGGTCTCTCTCTCTCCAGCTCCGCCAGCCTCCGCATAGCGACACATATAACAGGCAGAGTCACATTACCGACGAGGACAAGTGGGACTGGAATGGCCATTTCTGGCATAGTAATCATCCAGTCATTTAGACAAGATTCCCAGACAAAATGCTCAATGCGAAAATCATTAACCGACAAGTCGTTTCATGTTAATCCCAAATAAACGTTGCATTGGCTAAGTGGTTAATTATCCTGCTGCTTCATTAAATACTGATGAAAAGTTAGGTTGGCGAACGCACGTTTTCGGTAATTCTTCCTCAGGCCAATACAATTACATGAACGAATGAAAATGTACAAAATCAACAGTGTTTATAGATGCCTCAAGGACTGTTAAGTCACTAACACTCATTATCCCCACGCCGCCCGCATGAGAAGGTCGGAGGGTGTTAGTCGTCAGAGCTAGGGGAGGGGGTAAGAGAGTCGTTGAGTAATGATCTTGGGTTGAGTACACGGAGTACCCATCATTGTGATTAGGGATTTGAGGCGGCATGGCTTCATCACTTGGGGTTGACGTTGGCCACGGCAGCGAAAGCGCTTGTGTCAGAGTTTACTGACAGCATAACACCGGATTCACTAACCGTATTGCTACTGCCTCTGCCGTTGCTAGTATCCGTTGGCGTAGGCCTTTAGAGAAGCATATTGGTGTCCGGTAGACAACCTGAAGTGCTTTCTTGCCATCGACTCGGTGGTTCGTATCGATTAAATGCGCGAGAATAGAACTCGAAATCGACCGGGTCTCACCTCTGTCTAGCCAGGGGGGCATATGTTCACGCACCCTCTTTGGCAGGCGTCTCGTTGTGCGGCCGATGTATCCTGCTCCACAGGAGCAAGTGAATGAATAAATGCACATTGATGTGGCCTCCAACGGTAGTCTGTCTTTACCTCCAAAACGTAGGAGGGGAGAGTTTGTGAAGCATACGCGTAAATATGAACGTGCGAAGTGCACCTTCGTGGGGCCATCGACTGCGGATGGGCACCATTTAGAGTACCAACATGTCCCTTGGATGGTGCATGCCTGCGACGAAGTGTGTGCTCTCTATAGACGCTTCGAAATCATGGACATCAAAGGTGAAGTTGTGTTAATACCGATGCAAACGACTGAAGTAATTTTAAACTACTTGTCATACGAACAAAACCAAAATGACGAACTGTTATCCAACACGATAGTGGTAAGCGTATTGTAGGCCCTCCCATAACATGATTTCTGAGAGAAAGTGTTAAACAAGAAAAAATTGATGAACTAGACTTAATTTTGTTAAGCATTTTGCTTAAGATGTTAATTAATAGGGTCGGCTGGAAAGGACACTGCTTAAAATCGAGACGTTAGTCCTTTACTGTGGTTAGGCAAATTTAAACTATTCGGCTGAGAATCTACTGACTTTTTAGCTATTGGCTTAAAAAACAAAATTGGAACTCAGTCTTTGCGAGAAAAACATAAAAGTTGTTCACGATTTGGATTCGTTGAGACCCTACCTGTATCAGCTTCTGACCCCCTTTCGAAGAACTGAGTGTGCGTGACCACGAGACAGGAAAATGTGAAAAAACGAAGTTGTTTCTTTCTTGCCACTGCCATTACTACTGTGTGTGTTCGGGAAAATGTACGCCAGCTCTCATCATCATAGTTACCATATTTTCCATCGGTATCACAATTTTTCCCACTAATTATTAAAGGATCTCTCAGACATACCATCAGAAATTGGCTCTCAACGCTGTCTCGCCACTTTAGTTCTTATTCATCGCCGATCGCGTACTCAACCGTATATGAAGAAG